AAGTCAGCCTGCCTTTGCTTGTCTTTTTACCTGAAGTTTCCCATTACTCATAAAGATTAGTGGCCTGGGTCCTGCATGTCTCTTAGAGAAAAACAAATGTAACACCCCCATATCTTTGTAATACAGCTCAGTTTAGCATCAGTATTTGCCTCTCTATTTGGACAGCGACTTCACCGCAAAATGCCTCAATTTTATACATCTATGATTACACTGTTCAAAAGAGCAGTTCTTTATTGCTTCCTATTTATAAACTCATTCTACTTTGACTTATAAGGACAAAAACAAAACATTGGAGACCATTTTTTCCCTTCCTTATCTGCTTGATGGTAAATGTAAAATTGTGAAGTTTTAGGTGGGGGTATTCTTTGGTCCCCTTATTACAGCTATTCATCTTTCTTTGGAACGAAAAGAGAGAGTGCTGAATTGGATAGAGATGTTTCTGTAGAATCTTTCTCTGGTGACTCGTAATCTAAAGCTGTTGAATCCAGGAAGGCAGCTTTAACCACAGTATTTAATCTTATGGAGACATTTATTGCACAGCTTTTTTTTTTTTTTTTTTTTGCCTTGTTTAATATAAACCACTGGAGAGATGTTTCGTGGTTGTGTCATTTCATAAAGTAGAGTGTAAAGTAGAAAATGCCAGATAAGAAAAGACCACTCCTTAGGAATTCTGTCTATCACAGAATCTGCCTTAAAACATCAGCAATAAAAAATATTAACATTAATACATATTTATAGTAACAATGGCTGACTAACATCCACAAAGGAAGTATGGAGGAGGGGCTATAGAGTCTATTTCTAGAATCACCTGGATTTTTTATTGTGCTTCTTACTTTTCCTGGCTACATTCCCTTCAGTAAGTTCTTTTTTTTCTTTTTCTTTCTTTTTTTTTTAAGATGGAGTTTTGCTCTTGTTGCCCAGGCTGGAGTGCTTTACCTTCTCTAAACCTCAGGTTCCTCATCTCTGATATGAGAAAATACTCTCATATAGTCTTTTTTCATAAGGTTGTTGTGAAGATGAAAAGGGATGTTGAATGAAAAGCTCAGCTCAGTGTCTGGCACATACTAAATATTCACTAAATATTAGCTGCTGTTGTTATAGATAAGAATATAATTTATTACAAGCTATTGCATGTCAGGGGCCTCCAGGTACATTATCTCTAATCCTGATAATACACTTAGAGGCTAATTATTATTGTCTCTACCTTACAGATAAATTCAAGGTCACTTGGCTAGAGAGCGGCAAAGCAAAGGTTCCCTCTGGTCTGAAAAATATATCAGATTTCACCTGAATACCATCAAACTGGTAGAAGAACTGCCCAATAGAAAGCCTCACACCAATGCCACTATTTTTCAAGTTGGTATTTGTAAAACCTATTGAGTCAAGACAAGGTCAAAGGATAATCTTTAGTAGAAAAGCTAATTTAGTCAAAACCAATTTGCTCCTTCAAGCTTTATCACAGAATTTATAAAAAAAACTCAAAATGCTATCCAATCAACTAACTGTATCCCCTAGATAAAATTTAATAACCTGATTTTTTTTTTCTTTTTTTTTTGAGACTGAGTTTTACTCTAGTTACCTAGGCTGGAGTGCAATGGCACGATCTCGGCTCACCGCAACCTCTGCCTCCTGGGTTCAGGCAATTCTCCTGCCTCAGCCTCCTGAGTAGCTGGGATTACAGGCACGCGCCACCATGCCCAGCTAATTTTTTGTATTTTTAGTAGAGATGTTGACCAGGATGGTCTCGATCTCTTGACCTCGTGATCTACCCGCCTCAGCCTCCCAAAGTGCTGAGATTAGTAACCTGAAATTTAAGAGTCTCTATGTTAGGTCTCTTTGAATAAAGATTAATGAAACTCATCTACTATCAGGCATAGATGAATCCAGGCTCTTTGCTTTCCTGTCCTTCGCCACACTGGCTCTGTTTTCAGTTCTGCTTTTCCCTGTTGGCTGGCTTATTCTTCCTCTCTGAAAAATTGCTGTATGTATTGATGCAGACATTTGCTAAAGGCATCAACACCTTATCCTCACAGTCTGGTAATCTTAACAGATAGACATTTTTTTCTTCCTATATGTATATACAATTGATCCTTGAACAACATTGTTTGAACTGTGCAGGTACACTTATAGGCAGATTTTCTTCCAGCTCTGCCACCTCCAAGATGGCAAGATTAATCCCTCCTCTTTCCCCACCTCTTCAGCATATTCCATATGAAGATATTGAGGATAAAGACCTTTATGATGATCGCTTTCATTTAGTAACTACATTTTCTCTTTCTTGTAATTTTCTAAATGAGATTTTCTTTTCTCTATCTTACTTTATTATAAAAACATATTATATAATACATGTAACACATAAAATATGTGTTAATTAACTTTATGATATTATCAGTTAGGCTTCCAGTCAACATCAGTCTATAAGCAGTTAAGTTTTGGGGGAGTGGAAAGTTATATGCAGATTTTCACTGCATGAGGAGTTATCACTTCTAACCTCTGTGTTGTTCAAAGGTCAATTGCATTGGTCACCAGTAAGAATTCGGGCTTTTTTTAGCCATAGAGCATAATCGGTTATATGAAGAAGTGAGATGGAAGCCACACTTTGATTGACAATGCCTACAATGACTCCTTGAAATGGGAAAAGAGGTTCCCAAAGAAAGCATTTGATTTACAGAAAGAAAGAATAGGGAAGTGTACTAAGTAGACAAAACTCCTGTGAGTACCATGTTCATTAGAGTATTTTTCAGAAAGAAATTTTAATATTTAGTTTTGGTCCTGTTCTCCTTCATTCATTCAGTCAAAACATTTCAAAGAGCACATTGTAATCTAGCCACAGTTCTGGATATTTAAAAAACACAGAGAAGAATAAGAAAAGAATAGTCCTTTCATAGCATGACATTACATTTTCCCATGGTTGCTATAATAACTTACCACACACAGATGTACTGTCTTACATTTTTGAAGGCCAGATGTCCGGAATCAGTCTCACTGGACTAAAGTCAAGGAGTCAGCAGAGTAGATGCCTTCTGGGGGTCTCAAGGAAAATCAGTTTCCTTGCATTTTCTAGCTTCCAGAGGCCACCTGCATTCTTTGGCTCATGATCCCTTCCTCAAATCCCTGCATCCTCTTGCTCCCATTGTCACAGATACTTCCTCTTCGGTCATCAAATCTCTCTCACCTCCCTCGTATAAAGACACTTGTGATTACATTTAGGGCTTATATGAAAAATTTAGATAATCTCCCCCTTTCAAGTTCTTCACTTACCCACATCTGCAAAGTTGCTTTGGCCATATAAAGTAATATTTACAGGTTCTGGGGATTAGAAGGTGGATATCTTGAGGGAGGGGCATTATTCAGCCCTCCACAGCATAGCACAAGCAGTCACAACAACCAAAGCAAATGAATACCACGCTTTCAGACAAAGAAATATGTATTTCCTAAGAGAGAAACCACAAGTCATCTACAGGATGAAGGTGCCACTTGCAGCTCTGGAATCCAGTTGGCTTCTTGCAAAATTATAGCTAACATTTATAGTGCTCATTATGTGTCAGGCATTTTTCTAAGTTCCTTTCTTATATAACTTACTTAAACTTCACAAAAAGTCATCCTCATTGTATAGAAGAAGAAACTAAAGCACAGAGATAAGTGATTTGCCCAAGATTACATTTAACTAGCAGGGCAAGGATTTGAACTCAGGGTATGTAATTTCCAAGTGCACATACCATTTGAGATCCAACTTAAAGAATGGATAGACAGACTGACACAATGAAAAATGGAAGGACATTATAGGCAGAGGAAACAAAGTGAACAAAGACACAGAGCCAAAGATATGAAAGAGGGATTCAGGCCAGTGAGTAGACTGGATTGGATGCAGCATAACAAGCGTAGGAGAAGTAGTGGGAGATCAAGCTAGAGATCTAGCTTGAAGTCAGGTAGTGAAAAAGTCTTGAAACCACAGACACCTGCTGCGGCTGATGAGATCTTTCAGACATTTGAGTAGAGGAGGAGGCTTGTCAGAGTTTGGCCTTTGGAAGACTGATCTAGAAGCAACATGAAGGCGGGGAGGGAGGAGTGAGAAAGGAGCTATCTAGGCTCCTCTACTCCTTTAGTACTCTGTATATCATAGAATGTGGCCGTGTGTCTCACCCACTGGAGAGTGAGCCCCTGGAGGGGAGCTGAGTGTGCTGTCCACCTCTGGCTGCTTGTCCCAGTGGATGATACATTTACCTATAAAGCACAATACAGCTAGAGGTTAGGAGGCAGCAGTACAAATGCTGGGGCTACTGCTGCCTGTGCTGCAGATGAAAATACTTTTTGGGAGTCCATGTAAAATGTCTTTACCTATGTCTGCTGAAGTTTCTTTTAGTATAATAACAACTGTCTGGAAATTTAGAATATGTAGATCTATATTCTAATCTTAGCTCTGTACTTGATTTTGTGTGGTTTGGGGTAATTTACCAACACCCCAACTTGTTTCTTTTCTCTTTAAAATAAAATAAGACTATTTTATTTGCAACTATTAACTTGTGAAGTGAGAGTTATTCAGCTCGCCAAAGGGATCTGGCATAGAGATAGTACTCAACGTTATTATTATCAATCTATGATATTCTGATTTAATTTAGTCGCCAATTCCCAGTTAGGTTCTGTTATTATTTTGCCCCATTTTACAGATGAGGAAACAATCTCAGGAAAAAGAAGGGATTAACTCAAGCCATTACGTGGAGACGTCTGGATTTGAACCTGGAATCTAAACTATGTGCAAACTCGCAAAGGGAAATTAAGCCTCAGAGGAAGGGCAGGACAAGGGTGACCACACAGGTGAGCCAGGTGGGTTTCTAGAAGGACACACGCAGATCTCCGAGGAAGACAGAAGGCACAGATCAAAAACACCTAGGCTCTTCACCCGTCAGCAGCCACAACCTGGGTTCATTGCCTCGGAAGTGGAGGAAAACCTGATCCCCGCCCAGAAACAGCCTTCTGCGTCCTTAGCGACCAGGGCGGAACAGGCGCAGCCCGCAAAGCAGGTCCTGTGATTGGCCGGATTCCTGGGCTCAGTCCCCACGCCCCGTCCGTCCCCCAGAGGCACGGACCGCGCACCTCTGAGCTGCCGGGGTGGGAACGCCACCCTAGCGGTAAGGACCCCCTCTGTTCTTAGGGGAAAGATCTCAGGGCCGACGCGCAGCTTCGGGCAGGGAGGGGACTTGAGGATCACTAATTCTGGGTCTGGACGATTCCAGACAGGTGCAAAGACGTTGCAGGTCCCTGGGATGGGGGGTTGCCCTCTCACAGCAGGTCTTTAGTATTGGACTTTGGGGACGAACCGTGGCCTAGCCATCAGACCCAAATACTGGAAACAGCCCTGCCCTTCATTCTTTCCGCGATCCTTGTCAGATAACACACTCTCTCTGGGCCTTAGTTTTCCAATCTGTGAAGGAGCCTTTGCAGTAGAATTATTTCTAAAGCCCTTTCATTCTCTGGGTGATTCTAAAAGGGAGTGTTTGTGGCTAGGTTTACTGAACTTCCGAGTTTCCCTTGGCATCACTCTGTTTAAACACCCAGTGCTTATCTTGTGCAGGAATTAAATTTCGGATTCCTTGGATTGTTGTAGAAAGAGATCAGTGATCACAACAAAAGTCTCTCTCCGTTGTGTACGGTTTTCCTTCAGATGAATTATCTCCTCGAATTCATTCCCACATCCCTGAAAACAGACCCGGAATTATGCTGATCTCATTAATGGGAAAACTAAACATCAGAACTGAAAATGGATTCTTCATATGTCAAACGAATGCCCTAGTTTCTGCTCTGACCTCACAGGAATCCCATCCCGTAGCACAGAAAGGTAGAGTCACCTAATGACTCAGTAGATCTGCTGTGCAAACCTCTTAGGTGAGATTCCCAAGTCTGCTAATTACCGGTGATGTGATGCCATGTGAGTAAAGTCACATAGCTACATTTTGTCTGTTTCCTCAACTGTAAAACAAAAATGATAACAGTAATTAAAAGTATCTTTCTCATGCCTTTGTTAGGAGTGTTAAGTGAGGTAATATAGGAGAAGCACTTTCTCCTATTATTATTGTTTGTTGTTATTGACAAGGATGATGCAGTTCCCTAATGGAAAATCAAGAGGAATAATTTATTTTCATCCCTAAGGATTTGAAGGGATTTTTAAGAGAATCATGTCTGCAGTGTGGAAGACTCCCCGTGGATCAGATGCAATGCCTGAGATTATGGTGAAAATCATTGGAAGTAAACATTTTAGATACCTCGTGGAGAAGCCAAAGATGTAAGTCCATATTTGAAAAATATCTATGTTGCTTGGATAATAATGAAGTTTTATTATTTTTTTAACCCAGAAATTTAAAGTTAAAAAATGCCATCCATGGAAAACAAAGTCATTAAGATGCAACAGTAGAAGTAAAATAGTGTTGATAACTTCCATGTACGCTGTTTTCCTGATATTTTTCATCTTAATAATTCCCCATACTCCTTAATTACTTGGGCTGATTTTCCAAATAGATGGGAAATATGAGCATTGCTACATTTATAAATATTAATGGAGCATTGCTGCATTTTCTCATCGAGTTTGTAATCTACCACATATAGTAATTTTGGGGGGAGTGGGGGAGGTTTATTAGTCAATTTATTGTGGATTAAAGGAGTAGGATTAACACAGAATCATAAATTGTAAGGTTTTCACTTACTCCTGTTTTTATTTGATACTCCTCTAAGCAGGGGATTCTCAGATTATGGCTAAGATGTCTTTCTTCTCTTCCAAGCCCATCACAGTCACATTTAAGAGACAACACTCAGATCTCTCTAATATTTGCTAGATGTTTCAGCACTAGCTGTTTCTTACAGAGCTTTGGTGGCTCAAAAAAGAAGGGAAGGTACTAGATCTGTCTTTCTTACAGTAGACATTCCATAAGTAGTAGCTAGTAAAAAATTGCTTTTCCGTCCTAGGATTATTTCCTTGGCTCTACCTTCTATTTCAGAAACTCATTGACTGAACAAATATACAAAGATATGGTATCATTGAACATAAGTGCAAGAAGCAATTTTTACTAAACCTGGCTATCATCAGAATCACCAGGAGAGTCCTTAATAATAAAGATTCAGGGTCCAATTTAAGGTCTGCTGAATCTAAATCTCTGAATGCAGGTCATCAAGACTGCTGTTATGAAGTACAAGCTTTAATAAGGCTTTAGAAAGGCACATTAGTTCTACTTCCCCTCCATCAATATTGTAAAATCTAGAAAGTTTCCAGAGTGACTGCTATAATCAGTTAATGCCTGCCACTGCATAGGAACTGAGGTTTGTAGCAGGTGAGTCATACATTTGGGATCCCTACCGAGCTGACAGGTGTGAATTTGAATCTTAGATGTGATTCTTTCTTGCTTTTTGACATTGGAAAAATGAATTAACATCTTTGGCCTTAGATTCTACATATATGAAGTGGGGATAAAACAACGCCAACTAGTAACAGGTTTATTGTGGGGATTAAAGGAGAAAACGTATACAAAGCACCTTTTCAGTGTCTGTCGTGAACAACATGCTTAGTAAATAATTATGCTATTATTATTGAAGTCTTTCTATAGATATAAAACATGTAACAAAAAGAGCAAACCTCTTTCTGGGAAATGCTTGATGTCCGTTTTATATTCTATGCCTATGACGCAGTTTATGTCTGTTTTGTAGATGAGGGAACTAAGACACCGTCACATGATAAGTGATTATTTTGAGATCTGTCAAGTCACTGTCAAGAAAAGTAAATAAAATTAGTTTGGACACCTGGCTCAGATCTTCTACCTGGAAGACTATATTATTTCTAATTCCATTCTTTCCTTAGGTTGTTTGTTTAGCCTTATTCTCTCTGAAACCCCTTGCTTTTTCCAAGGGTATGGAGCTTAATATGTTTTTAAATGGAAAGTGGGGAGGAGTCCTTAATTTTTTAAATAGTGAAGATTTAGCTTTGTCTTATAGGAAGGTGGCTTTCTCCATTTTGTTTTCTAAACTTCAGAAACCAGGGGAAAAAAACAGTGAATTAAATCAGCTAAATTAATTGTAAAATAAAAGATGCAGTTCTCTCTCTCCTATTATACTATAAAAACGGGTATTTTTTAAGGCAGTAAGACAGGCCCTTGGTTTGTTTGTTGTGTTTCCTATAGATTTCATGTTACTGTTGCTGGGATGACATAGGATAACTAATATGCATTTCTAAAATATTCTTGTGTGTTTAAAACTAAGCAATTCTTAAAAGGCTTCTTGTTGCTCAGGTAAGGAAAGCACTGCCACTGTCATGTCATTCATGTCACAGAATCTGTCTTCCCAAAAGTGTTTGTCCTCATAAACCAGGGCCTCAAGAGGGTGTTTACTTTGGGTTGAATAAGTAGAACCCATCAGTAAAAATCAACTTAAGAAGCATAAGTAAGCATCAAAAAAGAAAGGTGTCTCCAAAACGAAAAAAAAAACATACACAATTTCCTGTAGGATATGTGTTGATGATGGGATAGTATAACAGACCTGAAGGTGGCCTTTCAGATGCAGCCCACTATGTTAGCTTACTAGGGCTGCTGTAATCACATACAACAAACTGGGTAGCTTAGAACAACAGATGTTCATGGTCCCAAGTTCTGGAGGCCAGAAGTCTGAAGTCAAAATGTCCATAGAAGGTGCCTATGAAGATGCCAGGGAAGAACCTATGTGTCCTAGGCCTCCTTTTGCTTCTGGCAGTTACTTGGCTTGTGTAGCATATCTCCAAGTATTACATGGCTTTCTCCCTGCATCTGCATCTTGTCCAATTTCCCCTTTTTATAAAGACACCAATCCATTAGATTAGGGGCCGACTCTCATCTAATATGACCTCATCTCAACTCATTACCTCTGTAATAACCATATTTCCAAATAAAATCATATACTGAGGTATGGGGTTAGAATATAAACACAGGAATCTTGGCAGGGCCATAGTTCAACCCATAACAACCAGTCTCTCATTTTTCAGATAAGATGAGATAACTAAGGCCTCAGTGGTCTTAAAGTGAGCTCCTGAAGTTCCCAGCTGATTATTAAGAATTAAGACTGGAATGGAGCTCTCCTTCCCTCTTTCCTTAAGTTAAACTGTGTAATTGTTCACAGATCAAAGAAAAATACTTATCTTTAGTGTACATATGTTTCATAAAGGAGATTAATCTGTAGGCTTCAAAGAGTGAAACAAGTTTCCTCTCGTTTGTGCCATCATCGTCTTTCTCCTACATCTCTATACAGCTTCCAACCTAGTTCTCTGTCTCCAATCTTCAGGGTCTCTAACTGAAACTCAAGCTTTGCTCCTGAATATGTAGTCCATGGATCTCCAGCATCAGTTTCCACTGGGAACTTGTTAGAAACAGAGCCTCAGCTCCCTTCCTCATGTATGAATCAGAATCTTACTTTAAACCTGGATTTTCTGGTGACTCCCCTGCACCTTCCAGTTTGAGAAGCCCCATTCTCAAGTATGGGCAGTGTGATCTTTCTAAAATGAAAATCTAATGATGTGCTGCTACCACCAAACCCATATTTGCCTGCCCCACCTGGGGGTACCTGTAATGCCCGTAAGGATGAGTATATGCTTACAACTTCTTATGCATTTTTGTCTCCCTATTTTACTGTAAATCATATGTGCACAACTGTATCCCCAGAACACAGGATAAAATCTGTACATGGTAAAAGCCCATTAAATAAATTAGACTAACATGGCTGCCAAGAAAAATAAAGGTCTAGAAATATAATGCTTAATTACTTTAAATAAATCCAAATCTAAAGGCCCATGCTGTTAAAATAGCATGCAGATGTTACTATGGAACCCTTATGAGTAACGTGCCATGTGACAGGAGACAAGTATTCTCATTTTCAAAAAGGAGATAGAAGCTAGTAATAATACTACAGAGTCAGGGGCCTCTGGGCAATTTCTGGCAAAACTTTAGGCCAAAGAATTAAATATATTGGTTGTGAAAATAAAACATGAAAGTGATGATCAACAGGAGTAGGTAGGCATTGACTAAAATAGATTATGCCAGAATGGTTCCATTCCCATCATGGCCCAAATGAAGAGAATGTTAAAGACAGTAGGCGTTGATTTGCGAGCCATTGGGCACATCTTTTTCACAAAGGCCTGAAGAAGCAAAGCAGATGACTCTAGATTGATAGTGTTGAGATAAGTGATACACCACCAAAATGGTGATGGAACAATTGATATAAACACAACTTGCTGGAGGTGGGGACGATTTTGTGTGTCGGATCCTGTTCTTATTCAACAGTTTTTAATACACAATCAAAGGAAGATAGACAAATTGTTTTAGTAAATCTACAGGTAGCAGAAAGCTGAGAAGCTTTGGCAGGGAAATAAGCTAACCAACAAGATTAAATAAACAGAAATATAAGCAAAGGTTATCTTTGGAGAAGTGTACATGGAAATGGTTATATGGAACAAACGTTCAGGTACTGCCTTTCTTCGAGCTTAGCATGAGTCAAGGGTATTAAGATAGAGGGATGTGGAGGCTCACGCTACACAGAACTCAGTGGAGTACTGCACACTTTAGTCTGGGTGCCACATTTTAGGCGGAACCCTGGCACATTAAAGGTGGGGGCAGCAGAGGGCATTATGAATGATCCATTAAACAGAATAAAGGCCTCAGAAATAATGCCACACATCTACAAAAGTGTAATCTTCGACAAACCTGACAAAAACAGCAATGGAGAAAGGAGTCCCTATTGAATAAATGGCGTTGGGAAACTGGCTAGCCATATGCAGAAAACTGAAACTGGACCTTTTCCTTACACCTTATATAAAAATTAACTCAAGATAGATTAAAGACTTAAATGTAAAACCCTAAAACCATAAAAATCCCTAGAAGAAAATCTAGGCAATACCCTTCAGGACATAGGCATGGGCAAAGACTTCATGACTAAAACACCAAAAGCAATGGCAACAAAAGCCAATGTTGACAAATGGGATCTAATCAAACTAAAGAGCTTCTTCACATGAAAATAAACTATTATCAGAGTGAACAGGCAAATTACAGAATGGGAGAAAAAAATTGCAATTTATCTATCTGACAAAGGGCTAATATCCAGAATCTACAAAGAACTTAACAAATTTACAAGAAAAAAAATAAAAAAACAATTAACCTTATCAAAAAGTTAGCAAAGGATACGAGCAGACACTTCTCAAAAGAAAACATTTATGCACCAACAAACATGAAAAAAAAGCTCATCACCACTGGTCATTAGAGAAATGCAAATCAAAACCAC